TCATCACAAGTCCTCACGTTGAGAAGGCAGCACGGAGCTATGCGAGTGACGTTGGACAGAGTGCCCTCTGCTTAGGAATAATAATTTCTACTCTCTTCCTTCTACTTCTCCCTGTACGAAGGAATGCCACAGAAATTCAATCTGTCTTCAGGCTGAGCTGTAACAGGTTCCCTAAATGGAAAACGTGAGGTCTGAAACTAATGGGCATGCTGTGGTGTGGCAGGCAGCCTCTGCGCTGGCCCCAGTGATCCTCACCTCCTGGAATTTAAGTGTGTAGCCCACCCCACTTTCCTGGAGTGTGAGCTGCGCTCCTCAACTCACTTCCAACCAACAGAAGGTGACAGAAGTGATGGATGCAACCTCCCGTGAGTCCCCTGCCGGGTCCCCCCCGCTGAGCTGCGCCTGGCCCCCAGACCACACAAACTAAGACAATACGTGTTAGTTGGATCAAGTTTGGGGACTTGCGATGCTGCCATAGATATCTGCTAAGTATGGCTTCTTTAAAAGGCTGAAGAAAAATCTCCCAGCTGGCCTCCGGGTTACCCTCCAAGCCATCCCACCCAGCAGATAAATATCGACAGTCTCTGCTCCTGTTTATGGACTGCTGAGTGGGGCCTGGCGCTGCTCAAAGACCCAACAAACATGATCTCAGGTCACCTTCCGGGGCCGCCTTGAAGTAGCATGTACATGTATTACTGGTGCAAAAAGCTAAGTAAACAGCGACCTGAAGCGTCGAAGCCTTGACCCTTTGCATTGCATGCTCCGGTTTGTTTGGTGTTTTAGTGACACACGCTGTCAACTGTCAAAGGTCACACATCTCCCCAGGGACGAAAGAGTCCTTGTGTTCCTCAAAGATCATAACCAGAGCCTTTGGTGCCCCGGCTCTGCTGTGAAATGCCAGCTCAGAGGGAAACCTGTGCCTCTGGGGAGAGGCCACCGGAAGGAGCACACGGGGCCTCAGATGCTTGGCAACAGTTGAAAGCCTCTTTTTTTTCTTTTTTAAGAGAATCTCATCACTTTCCCTCCAAAACCGATTTCACATTTAATAGCCCCACTGTCAAGAATGTCTGCAAATTCTACTTGCTTCTATTCAAAGTCACTTCTTCTTGGGCTGTTACATGGGAGGATAAAAAATGCCCAGTCAGGAACCTTCCATAGGTCCCTTCTTCTCTAAAAAGCACACTTCCCAGGCTCCAGAGGGTCTTAACATCGTGTGCCATTTTAAAAAAGAGACGAAGCAGGTGATTTTCTTTTGAAGGTCATTTAGGACGAAAGGTGCCACTGAGCAGTTCCTGGAAGTGGATGCTCTTTCGCATTCTTTCCAGGGGAGCGGGAAGGATGGCTCACTTTGGAAAGAGGCCGGGAGCTCGTCTGGCGTCGTGCCCTCTTGCTGGACCTCAGCTGCTCCAGGAGACACACATTGGTGGTAAACTCTTCGCTGTATGAAGGGAGGACATTCCACCTACAGAACAGTCTGGCAGCTTCCACCTGAGCCGGCCGGAGCCCGCTACTAGGTCACTCATCCTCTCCTGGAGGCGCCCACTCTCCGCCAGCACGCGGCTTCATCAGAATTTGTACGGCCACAGCCCTGGCTGTTTCTCCAATGTTTGGAGGAATGGGGACCCCGTTCACCTCCTGCCCCCTCTCCACCCTCTCTCCAGTTCTGGCGGGAACTCAGGGGCTCCAGGAAGCACTTTAGCAAGAATCCAGAAAACCTGAAGGCCCCCCTGAGCAGGGTCCTCAAGTTCCAGTGAGAATGGGAGATGCACCATCCCAAGCGAAGGTTTTGAGACCTGCCTACTTCACCGCTAGGTGGAATCTCCTAAAACTGCTAAATTCCCGACAACAGTCTCAAAATAAAGTGGCAATGCTCATGCTCCTTTGCACGCAACAGTAGTTGTTCGGTTTTTAACGGTAATAAATGAAATCTGATAAATATGGTATTCGATTAAGAAATCAAGGTTGGAGATGAGGCCCTGTGCTGTTGGGGGATGGGCCTTCTGTGTAATAAATTCCAGGTCATTGGTGCTCTCATCCTTGTGCTCAGACTTGTAAAGCCAGCACGGATTTCAAAGTCTCCGTGGGAAAACCCTAAATGGTGCTGAGATGGAGTTACCATTCTGTGGGAGCCTCCCCTTTCAGTCCTGGGTCCTCTCTCAGTCCTGGGCCCCTCTCAGTCCTGGGCCCCTCTCAGTCCTGGGTCCCCTCTCAGTCCTGGGTCCCCTCTCAGTCCTGGGTCCCCTCTCAGTCCTGGGTCCTCTCTCAGTCCTGGGCCCCTCTCAGTCCTGGGTCCCCTCTCAGTCCTGGGTCCTCTCTCAGTCCTGGGCCCCTCTCAGTCCTGGGTCCTCTCTCAGTCCTGGGTCCCCTCTCAGTCCTGGGTCCCCTCCCAGTCTTGAGTCCCCTCTCCACGTGTTACTTCTCCTCTCAGCACAGTGGAGAGTCCACCTCTCGCTGTTGATTCTGGACATCATTGTGCTTCCATGAGCCTCTCTGTTCGTGCCCCTGCTTCCTTAGCTCCGGCTTTCTCCATCCCTGGCCCGATGAAGGTACTGATAGCCTCACACCTCAGAACGAGCCCTGCGCAGACAACGAGCTGGGAGGGAATTGGAAGCCTGGTCCCGTCCCTGCCTGCATTTGGCCCTGGTCATTTTCTGACGGAGGGCTCCCCATCTCTGGAGCAGATCTCGAGCCCCTGGGGCCCCTGCAGCTTTTCCTCCCAGCACCTTCCAGAGAGAAGAGCAGAGCCCTGAAATCAGACTTGCTAGTTATCATCCTGGGGCAAATTATTTACCCTCACGAAGGCTCTGGGAGTATATTTATAAAATGTAAATAATCATATCATGAGCATTAGAAACAGCATAATCACAGAGAAAGAGCTCGTGGTCATAAAGCTACCCAGGGGTACAACCACGGGAACTGGAAAGCACCTCCGAGTCCAATAGACTTGTCACTGTACCACGGGGACTCCAGCACCCAAACGACGTGTATTTTCACATTCCGAGCATGAACACCACCAAAAGCCACGTGGGAAGCCTGGAAAATCACCAGCTGCCCCTAAACTGCACTCGGGAACCAGCGTTCGGGAAGACATTGGCATGTCAGGAAGTCCAGCTCTAAGGCCACAGAACTGGTGTTCTAGGAGTCCAGATGCAAAGACACCAGGTGCCCTGTCTCCCGTAACGGAAGAAGAACCCGGTCATTAGTCATCTGTCCACGATGGGGTCAGGATTATGGTATTTTAAGGGGTAGCCTCCTCTCAGAGAATAAAACCACAGGCTGTAGCTGAGATCTCTGCCTACCGGCTCTAACACAGCGAAAGGTAGATACCAGGATTTGGGGTTTTGTTCCTGGAAATGTATTCGAACACACACATGTGGGCGTGCAGATATCAAGTCAGTACTGGAAGGAAAAATAGGAAAACAAAGGAGAAAACGGTTGGCAGGAGGGCCTCTTACTTTTCTAGAAATCCTTTCAGATGCATTCACCCCCAGGCAATTTAGTTTTCTAGAAGCCTTAATGTAGCGACTGTGATTTAATTCAGGGTTTCTATCTCTTAGAAAACTGCTCAAGGGGCTGGCCTGGGGGCACAGTGGTTGAGTGTGCACGTTCCGATTTGGCGGCCCTGGGTTCGCTGGTTCGGATCCTGGGTACAGACATGGCATTGCTTGGCAAGCCATGCTGTGGTAGGCGTCCCACGTAGAAAGTAGAGGAAGATGGGCATGAATGTGAGCTCAGGGCCAGTCTTCCTCAGCAAATAAAGGAGGATTGGCAGCAATCTTTAACTCAGGGCTAATCTTCCTCAAAAAACAAAACAAAACAAAACAAAACTGCTCAAGGCCTTAGTTGCCTTTTGGTAGATTAACTGCTTAATAATGAGTGTCATTTGTCCTAAAGACATTAATGGGGCTTGTTTCTAAGCACATTTCCTTCTCTATCCTTTTTCCCAAATTTAAAAATGCATGAATGCCTAAAAGAATATAAAAATGTGTCCCAAGGCTGCTTAGTCCTGCTTAGCCAAGAATCTCCCCAAACAGGCAGAGTCAACAGAACCCAAAGTGTCGTTGCTGACTCCAAGACCACGTGGGCTCATCAGGGACTGGACATGATGGGGATCAGACCCACGGACACTTGTAGTGCCATCTTCTCCCCATGGTCTACACTCTTCTACATTCCAAACACTGTGATTTGGTCTATCTGGGCCACCAAAAATAATGTGATGTAAGGATCCCCCCTGTTTAGCTGCGGGGGTTCTTCCCAGGTACAAAACATGATCCCCAAGTTCTGGTGCGAGCTGTCACAGCCTTCCCCTGTTATGGGCCAATACGCGGCGTGATTCCTGTTGGAACACCTGAGCCCCGACTTGAGTCAGTTACCTGATACGGGCTCAGCCCTCACACACCTCGACGTGTTGAAGACGACAAAAGTCAAGCAAAGAGAGCGGGTCCCAAAGGCATACAAGAAGTCAAGCTAGTTGGAGAAAAACAGAATTTCACATTTAATCTGAATTCTGCAATTCCATCTCTCGCTTAGGGATTCAACTTAAGCCCACAAAGATGAAAATTCAGAGGTGAATCCTGCCTGGTAAGCATGAAAACAGCAGAGCACAGAGATTAAGAATATGAAGTGGCCTCAAACTAGACAAGCTCCAATCCAAATCCATTTAATAGCTGTGTGATCCTGAGCGGATTAAACTCAGCTTTTAAAAAAGGGAGGGCGTGTATTACATACTCATAAGTGTTTCTGTAAGGATTAAATGAACTAATGGTATGTAAGATGCCGCCCAGCACATAGTCATTGCCGAATAAATATTACTGTTGCTCGTAAGATGTTCATTTTGATTCCAAGCAAGAAGGAAAAGCAGTTGGTTAAGAATTTTCATCAAGTAGAAACTCTGTTAACACTTCTGCAAATCTTGAATGATTGAGAGCAAAAAGGCAAGTTATGGTGTTGATCAAGAGAAATCAGAGTGTGCGAGGCGGGTAAATGCGCGTCTGACTTACCCCTAAAACCCCAAAGCGTTCGGCCAGGCTCCAACCACAGAGAAAGTCAATCTCAAACTTGTGGTTCAGAACCACGATGGCATTTTCCTTTCCATACTTGGGGTAGGCCCGGGGGTCTGTGTGGATGATGCACTCCGTGCCCGACCACCACTCCAGCAACATCACCAGCTCTGGAACAAACCACAACAACAGACAGACGTTTATTTCACGCACCCTTCATGACCAAGGGGGACGGCTCTGCCCTCCCAGCTGGGGCAGAAAGCAACTTCTAGGAGTAAAGTCTGGATCATTTCAGCCCAGACCCCGGTCCTTGAAAGGGTGTCGAAGAAGGAAAAATGAGAAATACTCCACCACGGTCTCCAGGGCAGGAGTGGAAGCTTGGCGAAGGCAAATGGCTTGCATTCCTTGATTAAGTACCTTGGGGAAAAATACATCAGAAAGGCTGAATCCATCAAGAATTCATGCCCTTGTGTTTACAGAGCTGTGAAAGGCAACGTGATATGATGTACAGAATTCTTAATATCCTGGGAAATGACTAATTGGGATACTCATAAACTCCATCAAAGAACACTAAATACCCAATTTTTCTCTCCCATTTAAGACACTTGAGCGCACCAGGAATAATGAAGAACTGTGGTGCGAGGAAGCAGAAACACCAGCACCTGGAGGGCAAGGATAAATTAGCGCCAGTGTCCCGGAGGCCTAACTGAAACTATTGCAACATCCTTGTTAGGAGCTTGTGAAAATGGTGATGAAAGCTATAGCAATGTAGGAGCTTCAAAATGAAATTTTAGTGAAATGAAACGAAAGCTGAAGGTGATCAGCAGCTGGACGGGCGAGTCCTCCGTGAAGGTCATACCCCTTGTTTATCACCTGTTAATGGGGAACACGTTTAGTAGAGGACTCACTCACTCGTCACCCGCCCTGTACACACACACACACACACACAAAGACAAGCAGGTGTGGTCTAGACTCTAGCCAACCCTCATGTTTTAAAGGCTTGACTGGCTGTCTCTGAAAAACCTTTCTCCTCGAGGCTGGAGACTGATGCTTTTGAACTGGAGCACCAGAACTTTCTAGAAGGCATTGCCATCTGGTTTCTAAGCGGTGAGCACTGTGGGTCTTTGGACAAGTGAACCTCACAGCATGTCAGTGTCCTAATCTTTAGAATGGGATTGCCTCACAGGGTTTCATGAGAATTAAAGTGCAGAGCACCGAGTAAGTTACCGACACATCCAGGCATCCGGTAGCTATGAGTAGCATTAAAAAAGGTCCCCTTCCTCAACACTGAAAAGTGTCTACCTATTCCTAGGAGTGGAGAACACGCCAGGCCCCCAGTGAGTTGTCCCACAGGCAGTGACATTGGTGGGACCTAGAAGTGGCAAGTTGGGGAAGAAAATTAAATGTTTAGGGAGGGCTGAAGCACAGCCCTGTCCTAGCAGAGCAGCCATGCTAGTGGGGACAAAGGGACAGTTTGTTACCACTGGATAGAAACCTGTTTCTATTGCTGCCCTGATTTCCTCTAAGAGATGGATGGGCAGGACCAATCTATTCTGGTAATGACCACGGAGCACAGATAAGCCCCAAAGCAGAAGTACAGGGGAGTCAGCGAGATGAAGCTGAATGGTTCCGTGTGACCCGCATCCTGCTGTCACTCTGCAAATACCTCCGGATGCCTCTCTGTGCCCTACTCCCAGCTGCCCAAGGCCAGGCCGTGCACCCAATTCTACTCCCCCCAGTACCCTCCCGAGCATTTATCACACTTGGGACACAGCGTGAGATTGTCTCCCCCCTTATAGGACACAAGCCCCTTGAGGCAAGGACTGCAGCATTGGTGCCCCCTAACTCTAGCCTTAACTCCAGAACCCGGCACAGTGCCGGCACGTTGATGCTTTTGACAAACGCTGTTTGGCGACCTAGTGTGTACAGCACGATGCGAGGGCCTGGAGATGTAACAGCGAATGTATGAGTCAGGTTCCTACCTCCTGGAGCCGACGGTCCAGCAAGAAGACAGTTACAGACTCACAAGTCGGGTGACAGGGAGAGGAGAGCTTATTCACAGGATGGGTGGCTGCTGAATACCGTGCTCATGATCAAGGGGGTCAGACACAGCCAGGCTCCAGTCCTGGTGGGTCCCTCACTGGTTGTGAGACTCAGCATGTTTCTCAAGGTCCCTTAAGCCTCAGTGTCCTTGTCTGTAAAATGGGGGCAGGAAAATCTTGTAGAGATGCTCTGGGTATTCAATCCGATTATGCATCCAGGGCACCTAGCATAATGTTGCACATAGCGGGTCACAAGTGAGTAGCCAGCCTATTACCATTACACGCATAGTTATTTTATAGCACACAAAGCTCTGTGCCCACTGAAGGAGAGAGGGTAGGAGCGGGGAGAGAGACAGACAGACAGAGACAGACAGAGAGAGCAGTGACTTCTGGACCAGAGTAAGGAGTTATGATTGATGATTTCACAATAAAGGCAAGGAGAAATCACGGGAGTGTTTTAAAATCGGCACACAGCAGCACCTAATTTGCATTTAGAAAAGATCATTCTGGCTGAAGTGGGGACAGAATGGAAGAGTCGGGCAGAAGCAGGGAAGCCAGTTAGGAGGCGATGGCAAGAGCCCAGTGTGAGGTGATGGTGGCCGGGACCAGACAGGTGACAGCAGAGAGGGGGCTAACTTCTCACTCATCTCGACGGGCCGTCAGCTATACAAGTGAACACCAATCTTGCTGTGTAGAAGAGGTTTCTTTCCTTTTTTCCCCCCGAAGTGTTTCAGGTTTTTTATTCACAAGAAATTCATTTATATAGTCATATTGTAAAAGAATTCAAATGATCCAGAAGTATATAGAGGAAAACGTAAAATTTCCTTGATGGCTTTGTAAGGTGTCAGGCTGGGTGGGACTACATTTCCCAGAATTCCCTTTCTTGTTTGTTTCTGGGTAAGGGAGGCCACAAGGGACACACTTACGAGATTTGACAGATGGAAGGGAAGCCCTGCCATTTTGTAGCTTACATGTGTTGTTGCTGATTTGCGGATTCACCTCCTCAGCGTTAAGCAGCAGCTGGGCTTGCAACTGCTCCTCCATCTCCCGTACCCTTCCAGCTTCTCTGATTCCTGAGCCGGGTGTGTGTGTCTGCTCCCTGACTGAGGGCGCAGCTTCTGCAGGGCCCCCACCCCATCCATGGAGGATGCAGTAAGAACTGACCCGGGTTTCAGTCTGTCCTCGTAGGGCTGCAGCTTGTGCTTGGGGGTTCCAACCTCTTGATCACCCCATTTTACATCCACACCCCCTCCTGACTTCCTCCTGGGACTTGAAACTCCGCAATGAGTTGCAGAGACAACACCGTTACAGAGAGCTTGACAGCCCCACAGGTGAATAAGGTCAATTCCCTGAGGCCACTCCCTTTTCAGGTGTCTGCATATCTGCCCTGGCTCTGCTTCTCGAACCCTGATGAACCATGACAGGGCATCTCCTCCTCCCCTCCCCCAGCCCCACTCCCTCTGTTTGGAAGGTAGCTTTCTAGCCCTGCTCCTAGGCATTCACACACAAACACAGACACAGACAGACAGATACACACACACACACACACACACACACACACACACGCTTTCCCCCTCACAAATGAGTTCATACTTTATCAACCTTTGTAAACATATACATATAGTTATTTTCTCCAAATGGTGTATTTTGGATCTTTCCATGTTAATACATATACATAGTGATATTAGCAAATATTTATTGGGCTCTGGTCGTGTGCTGGCACCGTTTCAAGGGCTTTATGTGTGCTATTGTATTAAATCCTCACATTAACCCTATGAGACTGGGGGCAGTACTATTAACCCCATTTTAAAGCTGAAGAAACGGAGGCACAGGGGTAGCTCTCATCCTCTGTTCAGTATATGAAATTACCATTTTTTTAGGTCAAAAAGAACCAGGGTGGCGATTTCATAAAGGCTAGCACCATAGCTGCAGGCAGTTTGTGCTGTGACTATACCATGATTTCTTTAGCCATTCTGCTCTTGATGAGCATCTTTCCCTTGTTTGTCCCTGTGACAAATACTGCAATAAACATCCTTGAAAATGCATGTTATAAAAAAATATTGGTGAAAGTATTTTTCCAACATAGGTACACCAAGAAGTAGAATTGTGGATTGAAGAGTATGCATATTTTACATTTTTATGCATATTTCCAAAGTGCCTTCCAAAAGGATCGCACCAATTTATGCTTGAATCAACAGTGTGGGAGAGGGTCTCTTTCCGGCTGCCTGGACTAACACTGCAAACCCCTTGAAGGCTGGGACCCACTGTGTCCTTCAACACATATTCCTATAGAGTACGGAGTAAGTCTTGTCAATTACCTTGTGACATCCTCAAGGCAGCTCCTGAGTCTTGTTCATCTGTCTCCCACATCCTTGCTCCAATAGCCGACACATGGTAGGTACTCAAAAAGCTTTTGCCTTTAGTGGAATGATAACTGGCTGATGTTTTAGTTGGATGTTCCCGTGTAAGTAACTGCCTGCAACTTACAAATATTGACATGAATTGAGGTTTCATTTGCTTTCCTGTGTGGTTGCTCTGAATGCTGTGGGCCAGGGCCTGGCTCAGGCCTTCCCTCAACAGTTTCACAGCCGACTGCCAGGCAGCCCCATCTTCTGCCTAACTGGGCTGCTCCCATTTGAGGTGGGGCATCTGTCATTCAAGTTACCTGCACTCCGTACCATCGCGCGTCGAATGTCAGGGCTTTCCAGCTGCCCAGGCTCAGGGCCGGCGGTGGTGCCTTCAGCCCTCATGTCCTGGGGCTCCATGAGGTCTGTCAGGGGCTCCCTCCACATGAACACCTGTTTCAGTCTGTCCTGCCCACTCTCCCCAGCAGCCTGGGATGGTGGCAGATCTCAGAGTTGCTCTGACCCCCTCGCTCCATGGAAATGGTGGTGCCATTTCCTTTCAAAGGACACATTCTTTGGAACCTCTAATTTAACTAAGAACATTGCCAAAGGGCACAGGTACCTACTCGGTGCCTGCGATCCTGCTCAGAAAGTATGAGCCGGTGAGTAGGGCGAAGGAGGCCTGGGAGAAAGCAATGCCCTTCTGATGTTTATTCAGGGGAAAATCACTTGTGAAGAGTTTCAGATTACAGTCCTATGATTTAGCATTGGATGCCAGGAGTCAACAAGAAATGCCACCAGGGTAAACATTCTAGAAGCAAAGAGAAGGTCTTTGACCCCAGGCATTTACCTCCTTGTGTGGGTGTCCAACTCAACGCACTTAAGCAACCAGGAAAGAGCAATCGAAGCTTTTACCTAACGAGAATTGCAGCCAGTAGTTGAGTAGTTAATTGAAAAGGATCAAAGCTAGCAATTACAACAACGCCTCCAATCAAAATTGAAGCAGAAGGGGGAAGTGGGAGAGGCTCCTTCTGACACCCCAGAGAAGAGGTTGCAGTGACTGGTACTGAGAGGGGTCCCAGTGGGAGAATGCCAGAAGGGAGGGAACCAGGCCAGTGAAATCCCAGTGATCTAGGTGTTCCCAGGTCTTCCCCAGAGCCATCTAAGACCACCATAACTTGGCAGTGGCGTCTTGACAAGGACATGGTCTATCTGTAGCCACGTCTCTTCAGGGCACCGCCTGACACATGGCTGAGCATGGAGAGGGCGTTCTGTGCAGGCCCCAGGGCACCCCAAGGAGACAGGACCGATGAGGTCCCTGCCCAGGAAGCCCACTTGGGAAAGCAGCTCGGGCTTGACTGCTCCAAGGTCAGGTGCTGCCAGGCAAAGACAATGTGCAGATACAGATCTGCTGAGCTCCATGCTCCAGCTTCCTGGGCCTGGCCCTCCTGCGAGCTGTTAGTATTTAGTGAGCCAAAGAGATTGCCGCCCTGGGCCTGAGTCATCCAAGGGAATCTCAGTGGTCCTAATGTCCAGGAAACAGAAAAGGCAAAGAGGAGGACAGGGGCCGGGCCCGTGGCCGAGTGGTTAAGTTCACACACTCCACTTCAGTGGCCCAGGGTTTCGTCAGTTCGGATCCTGGGCGTGGACATGGCACTGCTCATCAAGCCGTGCTGAGGCGGCATCCCACATGCCACAACTAGAAGGACCCACAGCTGAAAATGTACAGCTATGTACCGGGGGGCTTCGGGGAGAAAAAGGAAAGATAAAATCTTAAAAAAAAAAGAGCAGGAGAACAGAAATGTCTGGAGCGTGGTGCAGCCGCTGTTCTTCCTCAGTCTGTCCCCGCGGAACGCCTAACTGGGGCACTCAGGGGACTCTGCGCATTTCTTCTTGATCAGTCTGTAACTGCTGACCTTGGAGTGGGGCGGGCAGCCCTGGAACCCTTTCACTGAACAGTATTTGATGCCCCTGGGCTCTGCCCCCATCCAGGAGCCTGTGGTGGGACCGAGTCCTGGGACCCAGGTTGGGCTTGTGACGCCGGCCTGGCCAATGGGCCTCTCCAGGGAAGGTGAGTGGCCTTTTGTCCCATTTTGAGATGTTCACTTTGCCAAATGTTGCCATCTTTACTCTTACCCTGGCTGCTCCCCGAGGGCAGGGTGGCCGGGCTTTTTCTCAGCAGCCCGGCCACCCCTGGACTCTGTTCTTGGGGCCACACCTGGCTCCAGCGGGTTGCAGTTGCTTGTTTTGCAAACTCCCCTTGGAGACCCCTGGGGCCAGTCCCAGCTACCTGCAGGGATGGCCAGGGAGAGACCTTCTCTGCAAAATCCCCATCTGCTGCCTACACTTTCGGGCCGATGGAGGGACCACACCCGTGTGGCTGTAAGGACCGTGGTCTGAGTACAGATTTGTCTTTGTTGTATTAGCTACTGTGCTGTTAGCTTAATCACAGGTAGAAAATAAGAGGTAGATGGACAAAAGGAAAAGTAGGGTAGGGAAGAGAGGCACCTATTTCATGTGTGTAAAGAAGGAGGAAGAGGAGGAAAATACTAACAACCAACATTTACTGAGGCAGCTCACAATGTCCCATGAGAGCCACTGTCACTGTCCCCATTTTACAGCTGAGGACATGGAAGCACTGAGCCGAGGCAGCCGGCTAGGAAGCGGGCGTGTTAGGGGTGGAACCCAGGCAGGGGGACAGTAGGCCCCTGAAGACTCTCGTGATGCACAAGGACTGAAGGCCATGATTATATGGGCTGAGCGGGGAGGGAGAAAGGGAAAGAGCATTTTGAGAGGTAGGGAGATAAGATGATCATTGACCTCAGACAGCTGTGGTCAGTTCCTTATCTGTAAAGAAAGACACCCAACTCAAAGGTTGGCTGTGAAAGTCAAATATACAGGAGTATTTAACACACGCCTGGCACAGAACCAGTGCCTTCCTTCTCCCAAATACCACTGCCATGAATGATGACGTAGCAGTGACAACAAAGGAAAGAATTAAGGGACAGAGACAGACAGCCAGGAAAGAAACAAGCAGCACACCCGCTGAGTGTCCACATCCAGGCAGCCCCAGCGCTACCCTGTCCTCAGCCCTGACACCTGTCCAGACACAGCAGATGCTGCACAGCCAAAGCCCCAGCTCCATCCTGGTCCAGATCCCAGGAGTCCACATGCTTTCTGGGAACCCCAACAATGCTTCCACCACAGCCACGATCTTCCCATGGCCCAGGCAGACGGGGTACAAAGGCTGCCTCCTTCCACACCAAGTCTTTCACCCAGGTTTCTGCTCCCCCGCAGCTTGACAGGACTGCCATTTTCTCTCCTCTCCGCGGCCCTTCTGGCAGAAGCGTGGAGGAGAATCCTGACAAGATGGGGGGGCAGAGGTCCTGTAGAAAAGACCTGGACCATTGATCAGAGTTCACTGTTCAAACACTGTCAACGGCCAGAATCTCCCACATCTGCAGATATGGGAGAGATGCAACCAAGGAAAATGGTACTTTTATAATCAACTTTATCTAATTTTAATAATTGTATAATTACTTATAATCTCTAATGTAAGTATATATAATTATGTATTTATAATAGCTTTTTATGATTTAGCTTGGATAATAATTTAGGTTAAAAAATTAAACCTCTCGTCTTCAAAAGCCTGTAAAAATGCAAAAACAGAGCTCTGGAGTTTCTAGTCCATGAAGGATATGGCCCCCCTCCTGTCCCGGACGCAGAGAAGCATGCTTTCCCCTGGCCTGGACGGCGCTGGGGCCCGGGGAGAGACAGGCAGCATGCTCCTTTGTGCCTTTTCCATGCCCTTGACCTTGAGGTCACTCATCAATTTACAGGTGCCAGCCCGGCACTCTCCTGGCCCTGTACAAAAGTTGGAATAAAAACATGAAATTGCACAAGGTGGGAGGGGCTGATAAACAGGAAGGATTTGGCCCAGCTCTTGACCCCATAGTGTTACTGAAGGTGCTGGCCTCCACACACAGGAGCTGGGTGGTCCCCGAGGGATCCCACAGAGACGCTGTGACAGGGAGTGGAGTTCATGACCAAATGCAGCTGTCATGTTACAATGCTTGATGCGGGAGTCTGGGAGTTCTGGTCTGAGCCCAGCTGCCTACGGGTCCCCATCCACCTCTGGACTAGTCTAGGCCAGTCCACCTGCAGGGTCTACTGCAGAGCCAGCCAGGCCCTACTCCCCACACACAGCTGCCCCTGCCCAGCTCCCCACTTGGCTGGAGCAGGTCCCTCCCCACCTAGCCACGCCCCACGGACCATCCTTACCACTTCCTGTCTTTTCCCCACTTCTGTCTTCCATTCCAGCCTTACCTATCCTCCCAGGCTCAGTACATGCCCATGTTGCCATGAACTCTTGGATCTAAGGCCACACAGATATGAGTCTTCCTCACTTCCTGACACTAAGCGTGCTTTACTCATTTGGGCACTTGCTCGTACGTTATTCTGAATGATTCTTAGTTAATTCCCCAGCATGTGCCTTTCCACAACCACCAGAATTCAGCGCTTTCTTTCCATGACCCCAGTTGGGAGCCCAGTTGTACTCCAAGCCTTTTGGTCTACCTCCCAGAGTCTTCCTAGCTTTCCCACTTCCATGCCCAGGTCACTGAAAGATGCTGAGGCAAGAAGCCCATAAATAAAGACACAGGATATCTGGGCTATTAAATTTTCATGGAGTTGATGAGGAAAGTAACATATAAAAAGGCTCCTTAGAGGGGGCTAGAAGGAGAGAAAGTTTGAGAAGCCCCACCATACATCTCTGACTTTGATTGATCTGCTATATGCTGGCATCACAGAAGCCAGTTCCTCTTGATAACACAGCATCCTCCATCACTGTTCTCCTCGCAGCCCTTGTGAACTACCTATTTCTGTGTAACTTTGCCCTTAGCAGAATATGACGGGAGTGGACTTTGCCTGGTATGTTCTTGGGGCTCAAATCTTAAAGAGCTAATGCTGCTACATTGTAACCTTCTCGAAGCCTGGAGATGGCAGGTCAGGGCAATGAGCGGCCATGAAAAGATGTGCCTGAAAGGGGGGCAAAAGTGCTGCTTCTTCCCCACTTACATCCTCGCAAATGAGGAGAGGGGAATTGGGTAACTGATTTTGACATAGAGATGCACTGAGAGCAGGCAGTATAAATACCACAAGCATTCACAGTGTGTGTGAACATGGAGTGAACAACGCTGGGAGCGGGAAAGCGGCTTACTATCAAGTAGAGTCATCACTCTGTTTCCAATTGTTGGGTTAAGCTTTCAGAAAGAGGCAAAGTGTCAAGAAATATGAAACCCTATGCTTCCTGCCTTCAATCAAAACCCTCTGGGTGGGAGGAAAGGGAAAGGAAGGGTCTAGAAGCCAACCCCCATCCCACCACTCTGGTGCCCTGACATTTGGCTTCTCAAAACTCCCTTTCAAGAAAGCAGCTGAGAGACCACTGAGCCGTGACACCTATGCCACTTGATTATCCAGTCCTGGATCTGTCAATGTTCTTATTCATCCCGTCATCAGATATGGATGCAGAGCCCACTGGAGGCCTAGCACTATGTGGGTGCTTCGATGTGGCAGAGAGCAAACAGATTCTAGATGGGGAGATGAGCAGCAAAAACAAACAGCCACAGAGACACATGACATGGCGGATGGCTGTAAGTGCTGTGATGGCAACAGGAAGGGGGAGGGCTGGAGGAACCAGAGGGCCTGGGGGGATCTCTCATAGAGGGCTCAGAGACGGCCTCTCTGGAAGTCACTTAAGGTTAGAACATGGTCTAATTGAAATAGGATCTGCGAGAATATAGGCTCTACTAGATAAGGGGCTCGTTTTGTTCATGGGTATTTCCAGTGCTTCGACTTGGGAACACACTTTGACACTTTGAGGATGACTTTGGCTGTTGTGTAGACAATAAAGTCAGCAGGCTCAGGGTAGAGGCCAGCTATGGGGAGTGGGCTACTGTGATCAGCCAGGGGACAGGGGAGCATGGGCTCGGTGGTAGTGGGCACATGGAGGAGGAGTCGGGGTCAGGGTCCTGCTGAAGGTAGAGTGGACAGGATTTGCTGTTAGGCTAGATGTGGTGTGGGAGAAGAGAAGGTTGAGGGGCAGTGCCAAGATGTTCGCCCTGAACAGCCGGGATGTGGGGTGGACTTGCTGTTAAGTGAGGTGCTATTGCTGAGGGAGGTAGGGCAGGTGGTGGGGGGATGGGGGGTTGGGGGGGATTGTGTTCAGACACATTAGTCCAGTGTGGGGATCTAGCCCTCCTGGCTCAGAGGAGGTGGTATGATGGTAACAGTTCTATCCCACCATGGCCTTGCTCTGCCACTGCCTTTGACACCCCTCCCCTGACACCGCTCAACCCTCTGATAACTCTATCCCCACTTCCCACATCTCTTTTTCTCTTCCAAACCCTGCTAGTAATTCTTCTCACCACACTTTCCCACTCAGTCACCCGTGGAAGTGTACTGGTCAGCTTCCCATCGCATCTGGGCACTTGGCAAGACTAGACATGGGACTTCACTGGGCCTTGAAGCAGTGACAGCTCAGGATTAG